AGATGCGGACTGAAGCGCAATTGGAACCGAAGGTGTGTCAGCAAGACTAGGGCTCACTATTTATTGACGGAACACCACGGCCTTTCGCCGTCAGATACCAAAGCGAATGAACAGCTGGCCGGGCGGGGCTTCCTCGCACATAGGGTGCGACATTCCCGGGCGGGCACAGCATAAGTCTTAACAACACTACAAGCAAAAGCAAGCAAGAAGCAAAGATCTACTGACTGCCGACGTCTTCTCTCTCCTGCTCATGCTGCGGAACGCTCGTATCGTTGATCAGAGAATTCTCACTTGCCATCAAGTAAACGGTGAAGAATTGTATGACAGCGCCGACAGGAAAATAGAAGGAGAATACGGAATACCAGAGACTGTCGTTGTTCAGGAACGGAGGCGAGGAAGACGGGGCAGGAGCGGACGGCGGAATACAGGTAGACGTAGCGGCGAAGGCGACGACGGGCAGGGCGAGAGCAGCGGCGTCAATTCTTTCTTCTCTTGATGGGAGGTCCGGTACGGGAGGAGCAAATAATGGAGTTGTGCTCGCCACGGCATATGCTGCAAGTGACGGAACAGTCTCGGCCATGCTCTGCGCGGAGACATCTCGGACAGAGATGTAATTCCGAAGCACGCATGGCTCGTGAGACTGAATCCCTAAAACGATGGCATCTTGCCGAATGATGACCGTCGATATTTTCTCCGATCGCACAAAACACGCAATTTGACGTCGGAGCTGTGCGTTCAAGCAAAGTCTTGACGTCGTCATGGGTTTGCGCGACCTTAGAGAATATGGAGTCGAGGCGACGGGACATGATGCTTACAGTTTCGAGAACAGCCTCGATGTTTCCGTGACGCTCCAGCTCCAATAACTGTATTTCACGGTCGATATCGTCCGCCATGTGGAGAAGCTAATGAGCAATGACTGAACTGTGGGGGCCCAGTGGCAAAAAGCGTAACCGCAACTGAAAAGCCATGCCAGCTGCCTGTGTCTTCCTTCGCAGTCAGGCGAAGCTGCTGAGCACCTGCGGCGGCGAGCGCGGAAAAACGAATTTGGCACTGGAAGCCGGGATGGTACATAAGAGAAAAGCCGCGGTTCTGCTGAAACTCAACGTTGGCAGGCAGTAGCATGCGTTAAAATGTAAGCTAATATATACGGGAGCATGAGAACATGATAGAAGCGAAAGTCAAGACTACTGCGCGCGAGTTAATGGTGGGAAGTTGTCGGTGGTGTGGCCGTGCCGCGCACACGAGCTACGACGGAATTGCGGGCTGATTGGATGGACGCTAGTGTGAATTGCGCCGATATTGCTGTGATATGACCAAGCATTTGCACAAAGAGGAGAGCGACTATTGGGCCGCAAATGTAGGTTAGGATGATTCCTGTCATCAAAGCGACGACCACGGTAATCGTGAGTTTCCAGTGATCAAGTGCTACTTTCCACAGGGGAGAAAGGTCTGGAATATGCACGTCATTTAACCAGTCTGTCTGCGGAATCTTTCTAATAGTGTTGTGAACGAATATGTCCTGTAATCCTGCTTGTTGGGTGTGGTAGTAAAGGATTCCATTTATTTTTACCGAGACATTTTTGTTCTCACATGTTGTGTAGCATTCCGATGTGACGATAGCTTTGTTGAAAGCGATTTTTACTTCCGTTGTTTTATTTTCCGGGCCACATTCTATGGAGAACAGTTCTTGAGCGCAGGCAATAGTTGTCCAGGATGCAACTGGGGCATAACATGAGATGTTAATTCTGCTGCCATGCTCGCAATTGTAGCAACCTTCCAGTCTGCCTGTGGTTATTGTGCATGGTGCGTTGATGTTCAAATGCGCACTGTCAAGGCGTCTCTGTGATTTTATTAGTACTACTATTTCGCTTTCATCGGATTCGGCAATCACCGTATTCTTTTGCCTCGCGAGCGTGACGTGCGGTGTGGACAACGGCAGGTGGAAATCGCTGCTGCGCCGCAATGACGACAGGCTGTGGTGCGGGCATCGGCAATTTGGTTGTGTTCCGCTGATATCGCAGTTACAGAAATGCATATTCGTGCACATTGAGAAGTTATGCTGCGCTTGTTGTTCGGAGCGACAGGTCACAGGGAAAGTGAACTCTCTTGGTAACTTGACTGCTTCGCTACGAGATAGCGCAAATTTTTCGTTGAGTGGTATATGCGGTGTCTGAATAGATATCACCGTGAATGCGAAATCAGAGAACTTCCTAGTCGAGTATGGATGTAACGTCATGCGGCTATTGTTTTGAGAGTTATATAGTTGTACTGAAACGTCCAGGCTTATCATGGGTAGCCAAGCTGAACACGCAAAAACTTCATAGGTCTGGGTTGAGATAGGCGTGTGTGCAACTCGGTAGAAGGTGCAGTGACGAAATGGAAACGGGCAAATACAGTTGATGCCGCTGCATTCGATGGAGCATGCGTTATAGCCCGGATCTGAAAGGGAGTCGGTCATTTCCGGTATGCTGTCGCTTGGAGCCATTGTTTCGCATTTGTCGTTTGTACAAGAGCCCATTCCACGACACCTTGTCATATGCCTGACATAATGTCGAGTGTCTCTGGTCCAGAATAGTGAATTTTTTGCGCATTCTAACTGTACTGATCTCCGTCTTATTTTGATGTATCCTACGCTGGTGTTCGCGTGTCGTAATTGAACGCAGAGACTTGTCATTACCTTGTTGAACAAAATCTCGCGTCGATATTCATAATGGCAGGCACTAACACCTGTGCATATGAGGTCTACTGAATGCCGCGTATATCCTTCCTGGCATGAAGATACACCCGTGATGCCTGCTGCAATGGCCGCGAGCAGTATCGACAAGGATGGTTGAATTAAGGCTGGTTTGAAAGAAGTGAGGGTGAAAGGAATACGTTCTTGATGAGGTGTCACGACCTGCAACGCAATATTTGTGCTGTTAGAGACTGTTGTGGCTGGTTTCTGCTTTCCTCGTAGGACGAGCCATAAAAGGAACCCAAACCCAACGAGGATGGTATATCCTATGACTGCTACTGATAGCAACGCGCCAGTAGGCCAGCAGTGTGGATTTGCTATCAGGCTCTTAGAAAGGAAGTGGGAGGCATGTTGGCAAAAGGATGGTGCTCTGCAGAAACGAGTCTCTCTGATGTATTCGGATGTAACGTCGACTCGGATAGGTTCACTTGTTGGTGATGGTGGAAGTAAATAGTGCGTTGGGAGTGCATTTGCACTAAAATTCCTACATGTGCTTTCGAAGCACAACTGAAAAGATGAAGACGGTGGGTGAATGTTGACGGTTCCGTTCGAGCATGATATGTGTTTGCCGAGTTCATGGCCTTCGCATTGGTTTAGAACGAGCATCATCATCAGGATATGTGCTACCAAGGGAGGGCTCCTGTGGTAAATATGGTTGACTGCTGGATGCTCCGTGCCTTCATCTTGTGTTTCGCATTGATGGAGTTTGCGGAGCGCTTCATGCGCTTTTGTTTTCGCTATTCGTGTAGGTCTTTGTTCCGGCACCGGGCGTGAATCCGGCGCGATGACTCCTTCGTTTCTTGCCATTTCAGCGCTTCCCTGCGCCTTGGGAGGGTGCTTAGCAGTGTTGGCAGCTCTGATTTCAAGTGGGTATAGCTTGGTAATTGGTCGTTGTATTGGATTAGTGTTGTGCGCTAGCTTAATCCTTGCTGATCTTATCAAACCGTCACCGCTTCGAATGAGCTCAACGACTTTGCCCATTGCCCAGTGTCCGCGTGGGACGAATTCCTGTTCAATAAGAACGATTTCGCCTTCCTCGGGTACTTCTCGCGCATTGTGTTGGTGCGCTCTGAATATAGCTTTGTGCATATCTCTTAGCATCGTTAGATATTCTGTGTTCCAAATTGCCCAGAATTTGTCCGCGATGCGTTCTGAGAACTCTAGGGCCTCTCTCGCCTGTGAAACTGTCTGTATACAGTCAGGATCGAATGTGGTGTCGTCTTCCGCCTCCGAATCATGTGAAGCGGGTAAAGAAAATTTTGTGTTCCCTTGCAAGAAGTCGACCGGACGTAAGGGGAGGATTTGCGCGTCAGACGCATCGATGGCTGTTAGAGGCCTGGTGTTAATAATGGCCTCTATTCGGATAATTACTGTGTTCATATCCGGGAAGGAAAGTTTTTTCCGTCCTATGCACTTGTGGTAAGCATTTTTCACTAAAGCTACTAGCCTTTCCCAAGCTCCTCCCATCCATGGAGCTCCAGGTGGATTGAACACCCACGAGATCCTTTGATTGGCACTGTAGTTCATGACGGACATGCCTGTAGAGTCATCCTCGGTGAAAAGTGTATCGATGACTTTCTGGCCGAGTTTGAAGTTCGTGCCACAATCTGAGCGAATAAGCTTGGGGACTCCCCGTCGTGATACGAAACGTACCAAGCTGTTGAGGAATGCTCCCGCGGACATGCTTTCAACCAGCTCGAGATGTACCGCTCGTGTTGTTAAACAGGTGTATAAACAGATGTATGCTTTGGAGTTGTCCTTCATTGTGAAAGGACCCATGAAGTCGCATCCGGTATTTTCAAACGGTTTCGATTTTTTAACCCTGTCGGGAGGAAGAGGAGCCATCGGTGGCGCGCCAAACGGATGGCTTTGTGCGCGACGACAAATGGAGCATGTGTTCAGAATTTGACGGATTGTTCTAGATGGCTGTGAGAGCCAAAACCGTTGGCGCGCAATTGTGAGCAAGTGGCTCTTACCGCAATGTCCGTTACTTTTGTGAATTTCTCTCAAAAGGAGGCGCATAATTTCCGATTTGGGCGCTATGTAGATGGGGTTTTGTGCGTCGTGATCTAGGTTAGCGTTTTGCAAACGTGTCTTGCAACGAATTATGCCGTTTTCGTCCCGAAAAATCTTTTTGTCTCGATGTTTTCGTTGCAGAATTTCGAGATCAATGGGTTCGTGCTCTAATTTCAAAAGGATGGTCTCGGCCTGCTGTATGTCACCTGCTAAAATTAGGGGCCCAAGCGAGAATTTGGATATGTTTTGTAATGAAATGGCTGCAGTGCATGACCGATTGACGCGATCTACTAAATGCTTGAGAAACTTTCCAACGAGGGCGACTACTCGCAGAGCTTTATACAGACTGCTATAGCGCTCCAGGTGCAGCAGCATTTGTTGTTCGGCTCTGTCCTTCGATAGGACTTCGATTAGCACCACTTCGTTTTCTACTTCTTCCGAATTTTCGAGAGTACTCTTCAGTATGTCGATCGATTCGATGTTGGTTAATAGTTGCCTTTGAGTGGTATCTATTAGCCACTGAGGTCCTGTTACCCAATCAACGCAAGCGAGTTGTGCAGCAGTGGCTCCGCGAGTGCCTGCATCTGCAGGGTTCCTTTCTCCCGGTATGTGTAGAAGATGGATTTCATGTCCACGAGCTGTGAGTCTGTTTATGATGGTTCTTATTCGGTCACGTTGATTCATTATGAACAGAGGTAATTTTCGAGAGGTTCGGATCCAGCTCAACGCAATTCGACTGTCACTTACGATGAATATGTCTGACACGCCAATGTACAATGTGGTTGAGATGGATTCCGCTAGCCGTAGAGCCAGCAAAATTGCAAGCAACTCGAGTCTGGGTATGGATAACTGGCGCTTTTTGGGAGCCAGCATGGTCTTCCCACTTATGAGGCTCGAAACTTCAGTGACCTCGGTGTCTACCATATACGCACACACTGCCATAGCCTGATTACTTGCATCGGCGAAGACCCATAGGTTGTTTTGATGTGGGGGTGGCCTTGGTCGTATGAGCTGTCGTGAAACTCGAATGTGGAATTTATCTATGTCTTTAGTGATCGTAAGCCATTCCTGAATCAATCCAGGGTCTATTTTGGTAGTCCATTCTGCTGTTTGTTGGAATATTGTCCGCATCAGCTGTTTCTGCTTTATCAGCAGCGGGGCACCAAAGCCAATCGGATCGTATATGGAGTGGTGCTGGCATAATAGGTCCCTCTTCGTCACGGGGTACTTTGAAAAATCAGTGCTGAATGATAGGACGTCTGAGTTGGAGTCGTAGTCCACACCGAGCAGTTTCATGGAGCCGCATGGCGCTCGGTCTTTTTCGTCTATACGTGCGTTCACAAAGTCGGAATTGCTCACAAATTCTCTCAAGTTCATTCCTATGGCGGCAAAAATTTGTTTGGATTTTTTATATTTGTACATTGCTTCGTCAGCAGTGGATGCCGTCAAGAGTATATTATCAACGTACAAATATTTCTGGATCTCGCATGCCAGAGGGTCGTCAATTTGATTAAGGTATGCGGAGATGACCATGTTTAGCATACTAGGGGATGCTCTGGTGCCGAAAGGGACGCGTCTCCATCTGTACTCGATCACATTATTTCGCAGGGGTGGTTGTCCCGGGTCTCGAAGCCAGAGGAATCTGCAAAGGTCACGATGAGATTCCTTTATGCGGATCTGAGTGAAAGCTGACTGTATATCCGCCAGTATGATAATGGGCATTTCTCTGCTCGCGACAAGGATGTCGTGAATTTTGTTGACGAATGACGCTCCCGTACAGTACGTCATTCAAAGATAGTTGACCTCTTTGTCGCGAGGAGGCGTCGAAGACGATGCGAAGTGGAGTGGATTTGTGATCTCTCCAAACCCCAGAGTGGGGCATGTAATATGTACCAACCGAATCGATCACTGGTTCTTTGACTTCTTCTATGATGTTGTCGCTCAGGTATTGTCTGAGAATTTTCACGTACCAATTCTTTCTTTCTGGATTTGCGGTCAGATATTTTTCCTGAGCGATCAATCTCTTCAACGCCATGTTGCGGTTATCGGCTAGATCCTTTACATTTTCTTTGAGAGGAAATGGGGCTGTTACGCACTTGTCACCAAACTCAATAGTTTTTGCATATTTAGCCAGGTATCTGAAGGTGGCTTCTTCGTTCATACCTTCCTTCGTTGAGATGCCTAGGCCTTCCAGCTCAAACATGGTTTTGATCATTTCTGACTCCGTCATCGGTTCAGGGATGACCGTATTGCACAATTTTGTGACGTCCCCATCCACGCCGTGGCAGTCACTATTGCCACGGCCATACGCAGCGAAACCGAAAACGGTCTTAGCGACGCGTAGTCCTGTCGGCATTTGGATTGGCGGCGTGTTTTCTGGAACAAAGGCATTGTAAAGGTCAATACCGACCAGAATTTGAGGGATCTGGTGTTCACCGCGAAGCCTACTGTTGGCTAGGAAAATGCCATTCTGTTCCATGAATTGAACGTCCGCTTCCAGTAAGCGCACTGAGGGGAAACCTTTCGTGAGTGTGGGTTTTGTTCTCAGGGGAAATCGCAGCTCTCTAGCATGTGCAGTCTGAATTTTCAGTTCCACATGGTGAGAGAGAAATGTCTCTGAGCTCCCGCTTATACCCGATAGCGTGCACTGGTCAGATCGCAGCACTGGTAACGCTAGGTGTTCTGCTGATTTTTCTTCTATGAGGCTAAGCTGTGCTCCTGTGTCGAAGAAAAACAAGGCTTTTTCGTATGCGCCTGTGCGGTAGTTCCAAACTGATCCGTCTGCTGTCATTAGTACAATCTGATCATTTTTTTGTTGGTTGTCTTGGTTAACCGTTGAAATGCTGCTCGTAAGAAATGAGGCAGTGTTCACCGTGTTTGGTGCTGGTGTTGGTAGGAGAGTGTTTATATGCGCATCCAGTTCGTGTTGGACACTTGCATTGGTGGCACTGGCTCTGTTGCGATTTAGGTTACTCGCCTGTATTTCGTTGCGCGTATTGGCTCGATCGAATTGGCTGGGAGGCGCCTTCTGAAAGCATATCGTCATGTCGTGCAATCGTCCACATCTTTTGCAATTTGGTCTTGAACAGTCACTGCTCATATGGGACGTTGAAAAACACTTCCAGCACAGGTTTTTTCCCATTACAATTTTGCGGCGTTCACCAGCATCTTGTACAGTCCGACATTGATATGTTTTGTGGTTAATACGCCCACAAAAGTTGCAACAGTCTGCACTATCGAGGGAACGGCTAACTTTCTGCTGCTGTGAGCTAGAGGACTGTCTTCGATCACTGTTCCGCAACCCAAGACGGCGCGCTATGTATTGGTGGCTCATAATCACGGTTTCGAGCCGATCGAGAGTTTCCCCCACTGTGTATGATTCACCGCCTTTGTTTTCCCTTAGAAACTCTCCTACAATGTTGTGAGGAAGCTTTTGCAAAATTGCTTCAATCCACATTGGGTCCCTGGTGTCTGTGACTCTGTAGCCTGATGAGACCATTTCGTTGATGAGAGATCGGAGTTCATCGAAAACGTATTCACATGTGGTCTCTGTCGCAGGCTGTATGTGGGATAAACGCTGAATGACATTGGCACGAGCCGTTGTGACATTTCCGTATTTTTTCAGTATCGTTTCAATCATCCAGGTGTAGTTCTGAGGCACCATTTTGATACCTTTTATGGTTATGGACGCCTTTCCTACCAGGCAGGCTTTCTTTTAGTAATATCATCTTTTCCATGTCTGTTAGAGATTGATTTTTATGGACCATCGTCTCAAAAACGGCCCAAAACTC